TTGCATTGCATTGCTGCAAAAAACGCATAAAAACGCATATTGTGACAAACAGGTGTGCATGTGTGTGTCTGTGTGTGTCTGTGTGCGTCTGTGTGTCTATGTATATTTCAACTCGGCAACCAAGCAAGTTCTGGCGTTAAAAATTTGAGTGGGTTCCCCAACCAGGTGCCACGCCAGAGCTGTGGCACCAACCTTTACGTGCGTTTGGGTCCCACGTGAGACTTAGCGGGAAAATGGCCAATTCGGAAACTAGGAAAGCTGAGAGGTTGGAATTTTAAAGGAATTTTCCCAGACGACATACAACTTAAAGATTTCAGACTCAGTCCCTAGGTGTGTTTGGTTCTCACGTGTAACTGTGTGGAAATTTGTGACAAGAAAACTGCTAGCTCGGGGAACAGAAAAGCTGGAAAACTGAAATTTTGATGGAATGTTCCCTGTCTAAGTACACGTAGTTGCACATTAACTTCCTGAGCTTCGTGGGCCTGTATGTCATAAATTTTAGGTACTGGGATTTCAAAAGATCTTCCTACAGCACGAAATGCTGAAAAAACGCATGATCGCACAGGTCCGCCTGGTGCGTGTCTTCAGTGATTTTATGAATTTCTACATATTTAATGCATTGCAAAATGCATATTTCCGAGAGGTTTGTCGGTGCATGTAACGCGTATTTTGTCAGTCTTTCCCAACTCATTAATGGGAGAAACAAGGGTTAAAAAAATATCTCCGGTTTCTCTTCGGTTAAAAATTTATGTTTAGGATTTTCTTCGGTTATAAAATTATATTTTGCCGAAAACTGGTAAAAGTCGCTTACAGGAAGTGAGGTGGCACAAACTGAATGGGTGGCGGCGGGGGCACGGCTCTCACTTGGGGCACAGCCAAGCGATCTGGAACTAATAAATCTGGTCGGGGCCTTGTAGCCAGAGCTTGTTGCTGCTGCCCCCTTGTAGCTATATTACGCTGCACTGGAAACTGCCTGGGGCGATTGTCGTTGTCGACTGCTCGCTGTGCATTGAAGACGAGTTGACTAGCACGATGGCGGTTTTTTGCTCGCAGCTGACCGCTCCTCCGGCGACTGCTCATCGACAGTGTTTTTGCGGGTCTCCGGGAACTGGTATTGGAACTGATCAGCGAAGGCGGTAATTGCCTGGATGCGCCCATCGCAACGCCGCCGTCCGATTCTTTTTGGAACAGCGCTGTTGGCGCAATTGGCAGATCGCGGCGGCGCAGTACGTTGCTACGTCGCAAGATTCGCTCATCATTCTGCAACATAAACTTGTTCTCGTTTTCAACCAAAACTTGTCAATTTCATTTAAGCCGCTCTCGCTCGACTCGGCGCAAAACAACGCTTTCACATCTCTCGCGTTATACTCAGAAAGTGAGGATAAATTGAAGGAAAGGAATCGAGAAATCCTCGAAAATTAAGGCAGAAAACTGACTAATAAAACAACATTTTTCTAAGCAGTTGTTTGTGTAATCTGTAAGAGCACTGTAATAAGAGAATAATATTTATTTGAATGTTAAAATGTTAAAATATAATATTTGTTAGGCTTAAACAGCATTATTAACGCTGTTCCACGACTAAACATTAGTAACAGTGAAGTATGCTGAACACGTAAAACACTGAAACCTATAATACATAAGTGGAAAACTAATAAACTAGTCGAGATTTCGACATTTCATTAAATCTTGTTTTACTGCAGGAAAAATTAAATTCTAAAAAAATAAAGCAAAACTAAGCATGCAAAG